TGTTATCTCTGATCCTGGATTGGAAATAATACTGAAATCCTCTGACCCTACTCATCCTTGTTATGGAAAAGGTGAATGGAGGAAGGGTATCCCTGTACAGACTTCATTCACCTTTTGACATCTCACTTTTTGATGACTTGCTTTTTTGACAGATCTAAATTGCAGCCATAGACCACTCCTTCGATCCCTGGTTTTTCAACCTCATGCTCCTTTTTCCCTCTCAGTCAAAAATCTAATGTCCAGTCTTCACTTTGCAAGTGTAAAGCCTGGGTTCCAGTTTTCAACCATTTTCATTTTTTGGCAGTGTCATGGTCCCTAACCTGAACATTAACATTAATTTCCTGCGACCCACAAAATACAGCGATTCCTTTCTGCCTCTCATTCCCTTCATTGGGGATTATTTATGATTGGTGAGATCTTCAATACTTTGTGGAGTTCCTACTGCGAAGCCAAGCAAACTAACGAGAAAGGAACTGTCAGGTGTGCACAGCCAGGTCTCCACATAGACTGTATTCCAACTGGAACATGCATTTGCAACAAGGACTTTGTCGTTCTGCTGATCCTTCTGTCACATGAGAAGTACAAAATAATAGGCTCTTTCTCACTGAGGGCACCCCGAAGCTCCTGAAAGTACTGATGGACAGCAATTGGCTCATCTAACCGCAGATCATTGATGATTCCTACTCTTTCTTTGGAAGGACTCAAGACCACGGAAACTGTTTTACAAGCAATTAATGAGTGTTTCTAAAGCACAGATGGGCAACTCCACAAAGAGGGGACCATTTTCTCCCCTGCAACCCCTAGCTGGGCGTGCTTGAATGTTCAAAAATGCCTAAAGTGACAAGCCACATTTTTCACCCATCAGTTTTGCTGATTGTCAATCATTTTTTTCTTTTGTGTTTTAGGAAGGGTTGAAAGGGAGCTTTGGAGCAACTAAATGTGATTTGAGCACAATTGTGAGAGCACGTTTTGCACCAAGAACACATCCAAAAATCACACTAGGATTTTGTTTTTTAAATGGTAGGCTTTGGGGTTTTTCAGGGATCACAGTTTGGGGTCCCAAGTGTTGAACTAGCCCCATTACTTTGCTCACATGGTAAAACATCCAGGGGTCCCCTAGGCAATGTCCTTGCAGACGGCCAATTCTCTCACACCAGAAGCGACTTGGTGTTTCTCAAGCCATTTCTGACATGATTAAAAAGTTATAAAGTTTATGATGCAAATAATAATTTACTGATGGATTGGACATATCACAAGTGGCTAAGCAGTAACTAAATGCCCAGTTTCATTGCTATATGTAGATAGAGCCTATGCTTCTTAAGAATATCATATCTTCACAATCTTTTCATCTATTTTTCCTGCTCAACTGACACCTTCATGCAATTCCTGTCATGCGTCAGCTTCTACTAGTGGGAACACTGAAATTGTAATATAAGCAGTGACATAATTCTTACTGATTTTTTCTGATTTGTAAATGCCTAATTTAGAGATGATGGGCTTTGTTGATTTGTTGTATCAATGACATACTTACATCACAAAGACAACATCCTATTGTGTTTTTTTGCTTGATCAGAAAAAAACCCACTTGACTGCATCACGCTGTATGCTTATCCCAAGTGAAAGAAAGTACTGTGTGGTGACAATTCAATGTCATCGAACATGTAACAAAAAGATGGATCTAAAGCAGAGTTGAGGGAAATGCAAGTTTTTAAAGTTACTCACACCTCTTGAGCAGTTTGAGAATGTAATTATATCAATGGGTACTGATGGGAAAGTAAACTGAGTACAAAAATGAGGAAACAGTTGACCCTTTCCAACTCAACGGTTGATTAGAAAGGTTTGGGGAGGGGGTCCCTGAAGGACTCCAGGAGTTGCACGGAGGCTGCAAACAATGTTTTGCATGACACTCAAAAGTGCTTCCTTCAGAATACACCCTAAAAGAAATGCCTGGAAAAAGCATTTTGCTGTTTGAAAGGATGTCTTGTTTGTTTTCCTCTTTTCTTTCATGAACTGAAACTTAACAACATTCTTGGGACTGTTTCAAATAAGGTCACTTTTGGTGATTACTATTTTTCAAGACCTAGCACTAGGTCTTGAAGCTTCATGTGTTCTCCTGCTCCAAGGTGCTCTTGACATGCATTTATTTATATCTCACCTTTACCACAGGAAATACAGTAGTCTTGTTTATCCAACCTTCGCTCATCTGTCGTTCCGTAAGGCAGTCTGCCACCACAGTTGTTTCAATACATTGTGATATTTTGGTGCTAAATTCATAAATACGGTAATTACTACATAATGTTGCCGTGTATTGAACTGCTTTTTCTGTCGATTTGTTGTAAAACATGGTGTTTGGTGCTTAATCTGTAAAATCATAATGTAATTTGAAGTATAATATACTTGTCCTTAATACCTCCTTATTATCCAACATTTTCGCTTATCCAACGTTCTGCTGACCTGTTTATGTTGGATAAGTGAGACTCTACTGTACCAGTAAACTAGCAGGTGGTTAAAAACATGTGGAACATCATTTTCACATCTGAAATATGAACCTTCCTTTTTTTTGCACACTAGTGCATGGGTTCAATCCTTCAGCAAAGGGCATTCGCATACATTACTAACAGAATACTTGCCATAATATCACAGAATATCTAAAATGAATTTTATTCTAAAATGCACACTTATTTTAATGATTAATGAATGAGCAGACATGAACAGAAAACATATTTTAAAGAAGTAATGTGGAACAAAAGCCATACATTTGTACAAGAATTGCATTCAGACTGGCATGCTTAAAATAAACTTCCCCACAGCTAAGCCAAACTTCACACTGAAGATCATGCAAGGAATACGAATCCACATCACATTCCTGATTCTTTTGCAAAACTGAATGAAAAAGAAACAATTCTGATGAACAAGCAGCTGAAGGAAGCAGTTCCATCAACAATGCCATCATAACAACTAAATATATCCAATGCTGTGTTGTCTGTTCCAAGAAAAGGTAGCCAATGAACTTCAACACTGCACTAACGGATAATAAAATAAGGACAGGAGGAAAATGCAAATGGGCTCTGGTCAGGCCTGTAGCCAAGGGGGGGGGGGTTGAGGGGCTTCGCCCCCCCCCCCTCATTCTGCTTTGGTTAGACCACACCTGGAATATTGTGTCCAATTCTGGGCACCACAATTCAAGAGAGATATTGACAAGCTGGAATGTGTCCAGCGGAGGGCGACTAAAATGATCAAGGGTCTGGAGAACAAGCCCTATGAGGAGCGGCTTAAGGAGCTGGGCATGTTTAGCCTGAAGAAGAGAAGGCTGAGAGGAGATATGATAGCCATGTATAAATATGTGAGAGGAAGCCACAGGGAGGAGGGAGCAAGCTTGTTTTCTGCTTCCTGGAGACTAGGACAAGGAACAATGGCTTCAAACTACAAGAGAGGAGATTCCATCGGAACATTAGGAAGAACTTCCTGACTGTGAGAGCCGTTCAGCAGTGGAACTCTCTGCCCCGGAGTGTGATGGAGGCTCCTTCTGGAAGCTTTTAAACAGAGGCTGGATGGCCATCTGTCAGGGGTGATTTGAATGCAATATTCCTGCTTCTTGGCAGGGGGTTGGACTGGATGGCCCATGAGGTCTCCAACTCTTTGATTCTATGATTCTCAGGGTGGTCCGCGAGAAGGTCTTACTGGTACATTACTTAAACTGTTATGTTTATTCATATCATGATCGGATCACCATGCACAATATATCCCATATTCATGGGGGTATTGAGATAATGATACAAAAGGTTTGCTAGGGTAGATCCTGAGCCTCCCCCCAACCAAACTCAGCCCCCCCCCCCCCGAATCAAAATCCTGGCTGCGGGCCTGGCTCTGGTGAAATGGAACAAGTACAAGAGTGAGCTGTTTTCATGAGCTTAACAGGTAGAATGGGGTTCCCCTTCACGAGGTCCAACTGCCTCCTAAGGTTCAATATCAATTTTAAAGACTAAAAGGCCATTTTGGGACACCAAACATCTTTCCCCTCTTCAAAGCTTGAAGCAGAAAAGGGTTTTCAACAAAGGGTGATTGGAAGTTTGGGAGGTTGAAAAGGGAGAGAATAAGATCCCCAGTTCCTCAGTCACTGTCCACCTTTCAACTAAAGTTCAGATATTCTGTTCTTGCATAGAATGAATACTTCTTAATGCCAGGTGACCCAATGGATTAAACCAGGCATGGGGAAATCAAGGCCCAGGGGCCACATGCAACCCCCTGGGCACTTACCTCAGGCCCACCTCATTTTCTCTGTCCTCTTGGCCTAAGGACATGGTGGCCCATCATACCCTAATGCCAAAAATAGAGGTTGAGAAAGGCACTTGCAGCTGACAGCCCTTTGGAGCACTCTCAGCCACTGTGTGTCTCACCCTCATCCTGACATAAGGATGGTATGAGAGACCCTATCCTTACACTGAGAGTATGGCTCGAGGAAAGCTCACTCACCTTCCTCCCAACATAATGCCAACAGGTCAGCCCGCGGATTGGGGGGATGAGGATGGGAAAGAGGATTGGGGCAGTCACTATGTGTCTCACCTTCCTCCCAACATAAGGATGGGATAAGCAGCCCCATCCTTATGCTGGGAGGACAACCTGAGGAGGCCCAGGCCTTGTCCTGTCCCCTCCTGGCCCTGTCCTTTCCTGGGCCCTCCCCACCCAGTGTGTTCCAAACCCCTCTGCCTCCTGGCACAGCCCTCCCAGCTGGGCCCACAATGTGGCCCCAAGGCAAAAAGGTTTGCCCATGCCTGGGTCAGCCAGCAGTTCGAATCTGGGGAGAGCAGGCTGAGCTCCGTCAGCTTCTGCTCCCCATGTGGGGACATGGGAGAAGCCTCCCACAAGGATGGTAAAACATCAAAACATCCTGGCATCCCCTGGGCAACGTCCTTGCAGACTGCCAATTTTCTCACACCAGAAGTGACTTGCAGTTTTTCAAGTTGCTCCTGACACACACACACACACACACACACACACACACACACACACACACAAAATGCCAGGTGCATATTCAACCTTAGTGAGTTTCCCTATTTTAAAAGCTGATCTGGCCAGTTAAGCAGAATGACAGTATCTTATTTCATACCCCAGAACCCAAATGCTTCCTATGTCACTATTGCCATTACAAAAGGTATACTTATTGCAACAGTAAAAGTAGAATGAATAGCATCAGTCCAAAACAAAAATGTATCATCCTCCAAGACCAGATTCTGTTCTGTTTTTTTCACACCCATTCAGATTTCTTGGATCGTGAACATCCAGTGCTACTGCAGACAGACTGAACATCGGAGGCTTTCCTCTCCACAACAGAATAATGAACTGAGGGCTTGTGATGACTGGCAGAAGAATGAGATCTATGGTGGCAGCCATCCTGGGGTTTAAAAGTTGAGATCCCTTTGAGAGAACATGCCTTCTGTTCACATCTTGGTTGCTCACATGCAATCTCTGGTTGGCCACTTCCACAGAAAGGCACAACTTTGTTCTCTGGATTAGTAGATGCAACACCAGACTTGTTACTATTACTGTTGAGGTTTGAGTTAATAGTTTGCTGAGAAGTCAATGTAGGCTTGAAACAGTAGCCTCCTGTAACCTCATGCCCAAGCAAACAGTTGCCACAACTGTCTGGCACAGCAATGCTCCCATGGCCGAGCAAATCTTGGTTTGGTTTGTCACCTTTGCTCAGGCTGAAGGTGCAGTTCTCTTGTGCCGTATACTTCTCCAACAGCAGCTTGTTTCTTTGGTTTCTTACAGCGTTGGTCCGGAAGGCAAAGACCAAGTCAACGAGGCTGAGGAGAAACGAAAAGCCACTGAGTCCCCAGATGAAAAGCATCATGATAGATTTTTCAGTGGGTCTGGAGATGTAGCAGTCAACAAAGCTTGTACAAGGGGGCTGGTTACAGGAGAACCGCCTTGGAACAAAGAATCCAAAAAGGTAATAATGGCCAGCTCCAAAACCAGCTTCTATCAATATTCGCAAAAGAAGGTGGACTGTATATGCTCCCGAAAAATCAGGAATATCCATTTCGTATGCTTTGCAAGCGATTCTGCTCCTTCCTGTATTTTTGGATGATTTTTTTGTAACTTTTGAGCCTACCGAAGATTTGATCTCTTTGTATCGACGATAAGGCACGGAATATGTCTTCACAACCTGTCTGACCACACTGTGTAACACACAAACACCAAACACAGCATAGGGCAGAAGGATGGAGACAGTCTGAATGAGCCAGAAGCGAAAGTGGGAGACTGGGGCAAAAATGTCATAGCAGACATTGGAGCATCCTGGTTGTAAAGTATTGCAGATAAACCGTTCTTGCTCATCTTGGTAGAGAGGATATGCTGCTAAGAAGATCACCATAAATCTTAGCAAGATCACAAGAGTTAGCCAAATCTTCCCTAGAAAGAAAGAACAAGAAGAAAGAAATCAATAAAAAGGCTTCTTATCTTACCGCAAAACCTCAATGTATTTGTGAGTTTGGTTGGTAACAAATTCTATATAATCATGTATAATTCTAGAAATTTTAGTAAAATAAATCAATCCCCCAAAAACTAAGTCAACTTATCTATGAGTCAATGTGATCAATGTAATTTAATGCTGTATGTCAACAGAGAATTATCTTCTTCTTTGAGCAAAGTTGTGAAAAAGAAGAACTTAAATCTGTCCTGTGAGGGCCTCAAACAAGCGACAGCTCCCACTACCATCTCTGCCATAGCACTACTTCTGAATGCCAGAGTAGGGAAATGGGAGTGGCACTCAGAAGCAACTTATGATTGCCCCAAGGTGAGAGGCCCCAAGGTGACATTGGTGCTTTCCGCTCTCAGTAAAATGACCTTCAACCTATAAATGGGCCATATCAAAATCCCTAATTTTGTAACTAATACCTGCCTTTAACTTATATATGAAGTTGACTTCTACATGAGTGAGTATATATGGTAGATCTTTATTTTTACTGAAGGGCAAGTAAGCCATCTGAATTTGTTCACCCAAAGATTAGCATGTAAACAAAAATTCCAAACAGTAAATGTCTACAATACAGAGGGTTTTGGTGACCATCATTCTCCTTTCCTGTTTGGCCTTACACATTGGGTACAAATAAAATACATAATAATGACAGGGCATTGGCAACAGCACTGTTACTGCACACACTGAAAGGAGGGAGGAAAGGGGAGACAAGGAAAATAACTTATTTTATTTTAGCATAAGTTTACACTGGAGAAAAGAATGATTAGGACTCTTGTGTCTGGGCACACAGAAAAAGTGAGTAAGATGCACACCTTGGAGTCCTAGTTAATTGTCATGTACAGGGGTACCTGAAATGGATCTAACATATTACAATACTGTACAAAATAACAATGATACATATAATAGTTTACTCATAGTGATCTGGACTCCATTCCATTTCTCTTCCTTCTAAATCAGTGGTTTTTAACCAGTGTTCTGCAAACCACCAGTGGGCCGTGAAGACAAAAATCTGGCCCACGAGCCTCCTTCCTCTTAGTTTAATTTATTCAATTTCTGCTTTTTTTGCACCGCCTGTCACTCCTTCCCTGTCGCTGACCATTGCATGTGTTCTGTATCAGAAACTAGAGTTAATGTGATCTATCCAATGCAATATTCTGAATCAGTACCCCAAACCAAACATAAAATTGACCAAAAAGCTGATTTGTAACCCCTTTGGTATTAATGTTGGAGAGTGGTCCCTGGTCAAAAAAAGTTGGGGGACCACTGTTCTAAATTCTCTCTGTCAAACCAATCAGTCAGTCTGCAAAAGTAAGTTCAGATCTTATCTCCAGAGTTTTCTTCCTACAGATTTTTGGCAACTTTTAGATTCCCTCAAAACCTCCCAATGACTCCCCCTTATGTATGAATTGCCTGCATAAAGATTCATATTAAAGGAAGAGCTCATTGTAGATATAGCTTATTTTGGGTAACTTGTATTGAAAGGATTTTTTTTTAAAAAAAGAGAAAGATGCGTTTTTTGTGCCTTTATCTTATCTCTGAAAAAACTGAATGAAATTAATGGGTCACCATAACATGACAGATTACTTGAATGCACATCCACATATCATATCTACACAGGGGAATGAGTAAGCTAGGAGAAACCTCAACAGATTGCAAGTCCAAGTTTGCTTGTTTTCTATCATCAAGTGCATTTATATGAAACAACTAACTGAACACCCACATAAATAATCCCTTAAAGAAACAATAGGTGAACTTATATATTAAATATTTTAAAATATTATAAAATTACATATTTTATATTACATGAAATATTACTAATAATATTACAATATAATGGTATAGTACAATATAGTAATATACAATACGGATATTGTACTATGCTAATAATATAATATATTGTATGTATATATACATATCATAAGCCGCTCTGAGTCCCCTTCGGGGTGAGAAGGGCGGCATATAAATGTCATTAATAATAATAATAATAATAATAATAATAATAATAATATCATCACAATATTAATCATATAGAGGCAAGTGTAACTAAATTAGGAGATGTTAAAAAGATTCTCTCTCTCTTTCTCCTGGGATGCAACTTTCAGAAAGAATGTCAACCTAAAACAACAATTAAGATCCATAGTTTTAGATACTCACCTATAATTGTGACGTTGTAGCTGAGGGCAATGATTAAAAATCCAAGTGAGTCCCAACATTCCATGTCTGGTTCCAAGAATCCTCACTTATTGAGGGAATAAGAAGAAATCGTGCATATTCAAAAGCAACAACTAATTGGGAAGGGAGGAAAGTACTGGAAAAAAAGGTTTAGAAGTCAAACTGCAAGAGGAGTAATTAAATAAGGCTTCGGGACTTGGCCGAGAGGAACAAGTGTTCCTTAGAAAGTGCGGCTCAATCTAAGAGCTAAATCCAATTCGTTGCTCTCACTCACCTCTGGCCTGACAACTGCAAGAAGACAAAAGGCAACAGGAATTATCTCTGCCATTGTTGGCTATTCTTACCCTCCCGGGGGCATTCCAGACTCCTGAAATTGCTGGGATAGTTCAGTGGTGAAAGAGAAATGGAGTAGTAGAAGAAATAATAGAAGCAGCTTTGTTTCCCCAAGTGATAAAAATGGATAACGTGAGGGAAGAGGACACCGAAACACCAAGCACCATGTTTTTCTCCAAAATGGCCCTATCTGTAAAGCTCCTTGAAACTGATAGGTACACAGTCCTGAAAGCCAGTCAATTGCAAGTATCATGAAGAAACAGATCTGTGTTTTAAGTAAATAGTTATTATGAATTTCTTTAACCAATAAGGTTAATGAATCTACTGATTACCTCTACGCATATATAGCTCAGCATTTATGAACAGGACTGCATGTCTCTTTGTGTTCTTCAGTGGTTTTGTAATATACTCAAGACCTACCTTTACTCACATTCCACCCATCATGTTTGGGATTACATTTCTGATAAAAAGTCATGTTTCCTCCACGAGACTCCAAAATAAGTCATTCAGAGCTGCTGTAAAACTACAGGACTTCTTTCTTCTCTGGGGATCAATGGGATTATGAGAATGGACAAGAGTGTGTGAAGCAGAACTTGGAAATACTCAAATGGAAAAAATAAGGGTCCAATACCTCCAGGTGAGAATGCTGTTAAGTTCTTCACAACAGATGAGACCACTTAAGTGTGATATATGCATAATCATGCTGATAGGATGACTTGGAGGTCTCTCATTCACAGAGTCACCATACATCAAAGTCAACTTGATGGCAGCTAAGATGGCAACACCCCTACTGCAAGATTTTGTGGTAGCTCTTGAGAGAACAATTCAGAAACATTAGCTATACAAAAGTCTTGGTCCTGTTGCAGATTAAAACTTACTTACTTACTTACTTACTTAGGCGATCCCTCGTTGGACGAGTAAGATGGTCTTCCATTATGGGTTTCCTTGTGGGTCTGCATGTGGCTATGGAATTAAAAATACTAAACTTGGCTTGTTGATATGGGTACAAACACTTGATTCAAGTTTGGGATAATGCCTGAGGACATGGTCCTAAGGTAAAAGTAAAGGTTTCTTATGACATTAAGTCTAGTCGTGTCCAACTTTGTGTGGTAGTGTTCATCTCCATTTCTAGGTAGTGTTCATCTCCATTTCCCCTTGACATTAAGTCTAGTTGTATCCGACCCTGGGGGTGGTGCTTGTAAAGTTCCCTTACCTTTCCAGCCTGGGTGGCAGGGCCTAGGAGAGACAGGCCAGTTAGTTGCAGCTTTGGAGGGCCTGGCAGAGGGCAGCAGGAGCCATTTTAGTTTAGGGAAAGCACCATTTCAGAGAGGGGGAGTGGCCTAGGCCTGAGCCAGCCTTAGAACAGCCAGGATTGGTTTATTAAAGGGGGGCGGAGTTAGACTGTTTGGAGGGAAAGAAGAGGGCTTTTTCAGTCAGTCTGTTGATGTTAGAGTTTAGAGCAGGATTACAGAAGTTTTTAGGAGTTCGTGTTAAGAGTAGGCAGTTTGCCTTAAGTTTGCCAGCGAAGTAAGCTGTAGCAAACTGGGTACAGCTATTTAGGGAAGAAATAGCTGGGTTTTGTAGTTAGCTAGGCCACAGTTGAGGGTAGCTAAGCTACAGTTGTATCTTGGCAGAGATTCAGCTCCTGTCAAGTATACTTGGTTTTTGTTTTAAAGAAGAAACTCTCTGTAGTTGTAACAAAGAAAGAACCATTTACAAGTTACCATTACGCTTTAAAGACAAGCCAGAAAATCTCTGTAACCATCAAGCTTATTAAACAGCATTCACTTCATTCTGTACTTCTATCAATAAACTTTTCTTGATTATTTTGAAACTTAAAAGCCTGAGTCAAGTGTACATTTGTGGATTTAGTCCCTTTTCCTTTTCAACCTCACCTGCTTCCCTTTAAAGAAGAAAATAAGAAGACACAGTACTTGGTGGTCTAAAAAGCCTTTTTAATAGTTTAACCAGCTAGAGGGTTCCTGTTCATTTAGTTTATGGTGGCAGCGAAAGTTTAAATAGAGAGACATCCCCTCAAACGTTATATAGGTGCCAGTGAAGTCTTTATATTGAAGAGAGACAGTTGGTGGGATCTGTTTGCCCCCTGTCAAGATATATTAGTGGTGCCATATATGAGCCTTTATAATTGGTGGCAGCGGTGGGATCCTTTGTTCCCCCCTGCCTCGATATTCTTGCTATATCTTTATAGTGCTCATCTCCATTTCTAAGCCGAAGAGCCAGCATTGTCCATAGACACCTTCAAGGTCATGTGGCTGGCATGACTGCATGGAGCGCTTTACCTTCTTGAGCAGTGGTACCTATTGATCTACTCACATTTGCATGTTTTCAAACTGTTAGGTTGGCAGAAGCTGGGGCTAACAGCGAGAGCTCATCCCACTCCATGGATTTGAACCTTTTGGTCAGCAAGTTCAGCAGCTCAGTGGTTTAACCTGCTGCACTACCAGGGGACCTGGTAGGTCCTAAGGACGAACGTGGTAAAGAAGTTATTACACCCCTATTCTGCAAAATCATGTGGGGCAACTCTTACTGTCACTTCACACTGTATTTAGGATTCCATGAACCAAAAGAACAAATATTTCAAGTACATTTTTAGCTTAAGAGCATATACAGAAGTATTGTCTTTTACATTCAATGGGATTTACTCCCAGATAAAGAGTATAAAATTAGAGCAGAGAGAAACCATGAACACGAGAAACTGAAGATCAGTACGGTATGAGACATGATAATTATTAACGTATTACCTTAATGGCTAGCAATAAGGTTATGATAAAAAAAAAACAAATTTTCACAAATAGAAACATACTTTTGCTGACTGTAATTTCAATCACCTTAACTCTCACTACCTTGATAGAACTTACATAATTTCACTATAAAACTAGGTGAGGAGTTTAGGCCGAATGCATTATTTGCTTTCAGCATTCACAATGCATTCATTTTGGCATTGGGCATCAGTAGGCACATTATTAAAGAGGTTTGAAACCACTGAGTTAAAACAAAACTCCTTTGCACATTCTTAAATTTCACCATTGCCCAATGTTGAAAAACAAAGCCCAAACCTGTTTATTCACAGTTTCTGAATGAAGAGACTGTCTTGTGTGCTTTTTAGTCACTGGAGACAGAAAGATAGTGGCAAGATGGCACTGAATGCTGGCAGGACAAGCTAAATGGAAGTTTAATTTCAACTGGGGCACCGATAGCAAAGAGATGATAACGTAGAGGTGAAAAAGTATGAAACAGGTTGGTTTAGCTAGAAACTCTGGTTTGCTCTTTATGTAATCTTCTTTATATGTGACTATGTATGCAGCACATACATCTAAATTTCAGGGTAGTGTTATGGCTCCTTTATAAATAGTAGAACCACCATTTCTCCTATGTTGCTTTTGAGAAGGTTGCAATTGCTTTTGGATTTAGTTCTTTACCAAGACTTGTTAGAGGAGAAACGATTGCTCAGCCAAAACTCTCTTAAGGGCACAGAAATACAAAACGTAAACACACTGGAAGCCATATTTTCTGGCATCTAGCTTTATGTTGTCCATTCTTCTCTCGTGCTAAAGGGAAGGAAGTTTGGAGGATGCATGGTTCAAAACTGTCTCCACAATCTGGTCTGAAATATAGGGAATAATAAAGTGAGGAGACTAACGGCACATCTGCACTGTAGAATTAATGTGGTTTGACACCACTTTAACTGTCATTGCTCAATGCTATGAAATCAGTTTAGTGCAGTGGTTCTCAACCTGTGGGTCCCCAGGTGTACATCAGTAGAGATAAGCAGCTTAACTTATTTCTGGGTCTTCTCAGCAGTGGAATATTCTCCCCTTGGAGCCCAATCAGTGTCAATGTTGGTATCATTCAGTCCAAGTCAAGGCTTAGCTTTTTATTGAAGCCAAAGTTGATTTTAGCCAGGCGGCACTTGCGCTTTAAGCAAGCTTAATTTAATTATATTTACAAATTTGTTACAGCTATCGTTATTATTTACTGCTTTTAACTTATTTTATTGTAAGCTGCCTGGAGATCTTCAGATACAAGATGGGATATAACTGATTTAATAAACAAATACACACACACATACAAGCCACTCAAAACATCTTTACAGAAGCATATGGGAAACTTGGCTTCTCATTGAACACTGAGAAAACCAAATTGCTTTTCCAGCAGTCACCAGCCAATACAATCTGCAATGCCAGAAATAGAGCTTAATGGCGTAACATTAGAAAATGTTGACCATTTCCGCTTCCTTGGCAGCCACCTCTCCACAAAAGTGAACATTGACAATGAAGTACAACACCACCTGAGCTCTGCGAGTGCAACATTTTTCCCAATTAAGCAGAGAGTGTTTGAGGATCGGGACATCCATAGAGATACCAAGGTGCTTGTTTATAAAGCTATTCTCCTCCCAACCCTGTTATATACCTGTGAAATGTGGACTGTCTACATATATCACACTCAACTCCTGGAATGATTCCATGCAAATCTCTTAGGAAGACAGGTGTGACAAATGTCAGCATGCTGGAAGAAGTAAAGACCACCAGGATTGAAACGATGCTCCTCCACCATCAACTCCGCTGGACTGGCCACATTGTCCAAACGCCCGATCACCATCTCCCAAAGCAGTTACTATATTCCCAACTCAAGAATGGAAAACGTAATGTTGGTGGCCAGGAAAAGAGATTTAAAGATGGGTTTAAAGCTAACCTTAAAAACTGTGGCATAGACACAGAGAACTGGGAAGCCCTGGCCCTTGAGTGCTCTAACTGGAGGTCAGCTGTGACCAGCAGTGCTGTGGAATTTGAAGAGGATGAATGGAGGGCAGAAGAGAGAAATGTGCCAAGAGGAAGGTGCGTCAATCCAACCTTTGCCGCAACCACCTTCCACCTGGAAACCGATGCCCTGAGGGAGAACATGCAGATCAAGAATAGGGCTCCACAGTTATCTATGTACCCACCGCCAAGACACTACACTTGAAAGGCCATAGAACTACTTTTTTTAATGAGGAGACCCTAATGATACATGCTTTTATTGATTCTGTTATGGTTTTATTATTCGATTGTTTTATTATATTGAAATTGTATTTTATGATCTTGGTACCAACAGTAAACCGCCCCAAGTTACCTGCGGGCTGAGAGGGACAGTATATAAATGCAGTAAATAAATAAATAAAATAAATACATATTATTTTCATGGCCATTCAACAACTCCTGAAATGTATCTATGTTGAATTAGGGTTTTCTTCCATAGAGATAGTGCTTGTTATGTCTATGTTCGTATTTTTTAATATATATTCAGTCCAATGAAAGCAAATGGAACAATCAATTTTGCAACCTCAGAAAAGCTGAAACAGAAATCCCAGGTTTATATAGTTTATAGAACAATACAGGGAAGGAGCCTTTTTTTAAAAAAACAATTCAAAATAATTTATACTTGGAAAACATAACATTAACAATGAGGAAAAAACCCACGTTTAACAGTAGATTTCTCTTTTTTAATTTTTAGTGCAAGAAACATAACCAAGTTAAATCACAGAATCAGTACTAATTGAAGAATATGGAAAATTCTCCTATACAGAGGTAGAATCCAGTGCACAAGGCTAAAACGATATCCAAGAGTCTAAACAAGACTGAGCCAGGTTCTATGGAATCCACTTGAAATTTTAAGTATCAGACTGTATGTACATACATACAATAAATAGACTATACAATCTTTAAAGTTGTTTAATAAACCTCACAAAATTATAGTAGATGCATTGAGAATTTTACATAATGCAAACCTTCCTCTTCCTTGATCTCCATATCCCATAATACGGAACGTAAAGTCTCTTGGTAGAAAAGTCAACCCAAATACTGTTTCACAAAGTCTTGACAAAACAAGTTGTTGTAAAAACTATATCTATATATTTGATAGTGGGGCTGCCATTTGTTTCTATCAAAACCGACTCCTTCTTCACTCTCTTACTCCTCTTATTTCAAAATATTCCATTCAAGAAAAAAAAGGAAACGGTGAAGGCTGGATAGGATGGGGACCCAAAACTTGAGTTTTGAGATATTGGCACAACGACAAGAAAAAGGACTGAACTGTTGTAAGCAGTGAGCAAAATCTCCATGTTACGTAGCATATGTTAGAAAAGTAGCAGAAAATGCTTAATTATTAGCAATCCAACCTCATCAGTGCCCTGCCCCTTTAAGGCAATTAGTATTGTCAGGGCATAGCCATCCAATAATATTTTAATGCTCTGGACCTAAATACATCTAGGACACACCCCATCAGCAGTTCCCTCTACACTGTAGAAACAAAAAAGGAAACATCTTGGGCTGGATATACATTGCCATATAATCCAGATCAAAGCCTGGCATCAGAAACTGGACAATATGGCAGTGTAAATGGGACCTTAGGGAAATGAAAGTTCCTTACACAACTTTAGGATTTGTGGCTAGCATGGAGATGACACAGTCATGTAGCCCAGAAGTTGTAAATGCTACTTTTGTGTACCACGAATTGCAGAGTCCGTCCATCCCCAACACAGCTGGGATGGGGAGGGGGTTTTAGACCTGGAAATTGGGGTACAAAAATTAACATTTTCAAGGCAGCAGGGAAACCTTTGTGCCAACAGCCAACTTGCCCATCTTTGGTGAGATCCAAAGAGGGATAACACTAATTCATATGGATCTAAAGAGGAATAATACTAATTCATATGAGGTTAAGAACCAACCATTTTATGATTCTCATATAGCCACTATTATTGACAAGGAAATAAGTAGTTGACTGGTTTAAAAAGCAATTTTTAGTGTTTCTTTCTGCAAGCAATGACAAGACCAATGATGATGGGTTTGTGGACATGCCTCTTCATTGATTCCAAACCCCTGACTATAGGTAAGACAAACCATATGGGGGCCTATTCCTGCTCCCTAAAATTGAAGCCATGTGGGTGTACCTTCACATGGAAAATACTCCATGCAACTGTTCAACCTTTCACTCAAGTAAACATCTGATGAAATGGGATTTTAAGGCTAAATGAGATCAGATAAAGGAATGTATATGGGCAAGTCTCCTGTGCGAGATACAACTGAATCTAATGAAGAAGGTTCAGGAGCATATGTGAGGACATTCATTCTGGACATGTCCTCCAATGAAATGACTGGGAGCTAGTTATTAACAGTATGGGTAGATTGGGGAGCATGTGCAGGAGAACTTCCTGCTGGCATGGACTTTTCATGGTTCACTCCATTAGTGCACGTAAAATAAAGCCAACACAATGTGGTCAATATCATCTGCTTTAGCCATTCTTGCACAGAATAGAGCTCACAGGCTTCCACAAACTTAGTATGTCTGTTGTTGAAGGCTTTCATGGCCAGAATCATTGGGTTACTGTGTTTTCCAGGCTGTATGGCCATGTTCCAGAAGCATTCTCTCCTGACGTTTCACCAAACACGTCAGGATGCCTGCCATAGATATGGGGGAAACATCAGGAGAAAATGCTTCTGGAACATGGCCATACAGCCCTGAAAATTCACGCAATCCCATAGTTATGTCTGCTTTTGGTTTGCTTGTTTTCTGTATCATAAAATGGCATGGTTTTTATTTTTCAAATGTGCAAAAAAGTTCAGACACTTGTGTAGAGCACAAGCATTTTTACAGAGATAACATCATTCGTTATATTTCTTTCAAAAAGTGGGCATTCAACCCATTTATCCTGTTAAGGAAAGGAAGGAAAGGGATCCAGTAGTAACAACGAAAAAGTACAATATAATCAACAAAGCAACAAAAATTTCTTCACAGTTTGCATTTTGTTTAAATTTCTGTAAGCACCTACACTGAAAAAAATGCAATTTTTAAAAACAGGTTGTTTTTATTCTGAAATCTAACCTGTGACAAAACACTTCGTAAAATTAATATAGTTTTTTTTTCTACTTCTTCCATGGACCCTTTTTTACTAGAACATTTTTTTTTAATTTTTCTATTTTTATACAAAGAGATTGGTTTCCATTTAAAGTAAACATATAAAAAACTTGAGGCTATTGCTTGCAACATTGAACCAGGAAATGAAGGAAATCAACTGGGCCGTACAAAAGGAGACTCTGGCTCTCTTTCCATCTCTCGTACTTAAACTCTGCCAAATCTCTACATGCTATGGAAATCCTGCGAAAAGGACTACCACATCCAATGCAAATGTAACTTTCTAGGGCCCAGTTTTACTATTATCTGTATCCTTCCAACAATCATTAACTTTTATAGTAAGGAAAAATAAACTATCCCAAAGAATGTAGGAAGGCACATGCAGCCACATTTACTATGAAACAGACAGTATTCATGACGCATCAGGAAGCACCATGTACCTGGTTGCTATATAAATAAGGGGGGGAAAGAAGAAAATGAAGTTACAAACGATCACCTGATCTCTTTTTTTGTATACTTTTGGTTCAGCACTATAAATCAAGTCAAATGTTGTTTTCAAAAATACAACAAAGGCATACAAGAAACAAAATACGCATAATTATTAGAGGGAAAACTCATTAAACAGCTTATGAAAAAAAGCGCAGTGTGTTGGGTGGGAGAGGAAAGAAGAAACCAAACAATGTTGTCCAGTCCATAGGCTTTTGTTGTGCTACTGTAGATCCTGCCTCCTTCACAGCGGTTGCTTTTAGAATCAAGGAAAGCAACTAAGAAGGAATGCAAATAAAAAATGTGTAGTAAAACAATAGAAGATACCAAAGGAAACATGAATCACTTCCAACTTCTTGTGGTACTTCTTCCAAGTTTATCTTGTTGTTGTTGTTGTTTTCATGGCACTCTGACTGCCGACAATCTTTCTCTCTCTTTTCAAAATGACACCTTTCTCGCCTTCTTGTCTTGCATTTACTTCTTTATGTAAAAGGACAGGATCTGTAGTAAGTAACAAAACTGGTTTGCTTCCAAGGTACTGCTCTTCCTCTCCAATCCTTATATTTATTCTTGTGTGCTACTCATCGGGGGAGGCACTGTAAAGGCGGATCAAAAAATAAGAAAAGCCAAGAACAAAGAAAGAAGAAGGACCAAAACACCCCTTCCGCCCAAAGTTGGTGATAGAAACAGTACTGTCGGAGGAATATCCCGGACTTCACTGTTAGGAGATAATAGCAGGTGACCATCTAACTACAGTTAGATTGTCCGAACTGACTGAACGCTTCTTTGCAGATTTCCTGAAGTCCTTATACTTGTCTTCACACAAGCGAGAGATGGCCTGTAGGGAAATGGACAAATGAGAATGAAAGGTCAAATCCAAGAAACAAGAATCCAGAAATATATTATTTGATCCCTTAATAAAGAAATGCCAGAGACCAAATCTGGGGCATTCTGCATGACAAATGTCTAGTGTTAATGTTTTGCTATGTATTTGCTGTGCCTGTACATTTGACAACCGGGACATCCGTAGGGAAACCAAGGTGCTTGTTTACAAAGCTATTGTCCTCCCAACGCTGCTATACGCCTGTGAGACGTGAATGGAATGATTCCATTAGCGCTCCCTCCAGAAAATCCTTCAAATCTCTTGGGAAGACTAACGGACAAACGTCAGCGTGCTGGAAGAAGCCCAAAGACCACCAGCATTGAAGCGATGGTCCTCCACCATCAGCTCCACTGGTGCGGCCACATTGTCCAGATGCCCGACCACCGTCTCCCAAAGCAGTTGCTCTACTCCAAACTCAAGAATGGAAAATGGAATGTTGGTGGACAGGAAAAGAGATTTAAAGATGGGCCCAAAGTCAACCTTAAAAACTCTGGCATAGACACTGAGAACTGGGAAGCCCTGGCCCTTGAACGCTCCAGCTGGAGGTTAGCTGTGACCAGCAGTGCTGCAGAATTTGAAGAGGCACGAATGGAGGGCGAAAGAGAGAAACGTGCAAAGAGGAAGGTGCATYAAGYCAACCCTGTCYGAGACCGCTTTCACCTGGAAACCAATGCCCTCGCTTCGGGAGAAGATGCAGATCAAGAATAGGGCTCCACAGTCACCTACGGACCCACCTGAACACTGATCCTGGAAGACTATCCTACTCGGCCAACGAGAGATCGCCTAAATAAGTAAGTATACATTTGAAAGTCCACTAAAAATTTTGCCACTCCATCTCCTCCAATCCTGACAAACAAAAACACAAACTTTCCCAAGTCTGCTTTAATGCATCACACTTCAGTTAATTTAGCATGAGCTATGTGAAATTATTGCTTCTTAAACAACCTACGTAAGAGATGGACCAATACTGTGCTTTCACCTACCTACATCCAACAAAGTATGTCTTCTCTAAGAATTTTCTAGATATTTCCAGTATATTCTATGGTATGCTTCTGCTGCAAGTTTCCACAGAGTCGCCTTGAAATATGTATTACATTCTTAGAGAGGATATTAACAGAGGGTGACATAAAGACTAACTCGTAGCACTAGAAAATTTGCCAACATCAAAGTACTGAAATTCCATCCTTTCTGGTAGGTACCACATTTAATACTGCTCTATAGTGCCATCTGTCAGGGATGCTTTGCTTGTGCTTTTCATGCATTGCATGGAGTTGGACTAGATGGCCCATGTGGTCTCTTTCAACTTTATTATTCTATTCAATGAAGAACATTGGCTGTGTAAAATTACAATAAGGTAAGCTTGCTATGTCCACAAGGAGAACAAGGTCTTACCTCAAGTTTACATGCCCTTTCCCTGCTGAGGGGCTCCAGTGGAAAGCTCAAGTTGTTTGCTTCAGCCAGGGACCGCAAATCAAAATAATACTTGGCATAAACACTGGAAGGAACGTTGATGTTGAACTGCAGCAACTCAAGAAACTGTCGTTCCAACTCATTCCTGCAAAAATAAATGATACAACAAAGACGCATGTTAGTAATTATCCTGTAGAACTACAATTTACTTCAGCTTCTTAAAATGCTGAATGGGAGAGAAAGTAAATAAATCAGAACCTAGTCACAGGCATCTTCAACCCAAGCAATTTCAAAGAAAATTCTTCCTCTTCTAAATGTTTAGATGCAAGAAATGTATTTTTCACTTAAGCATTTACCCTTTGATATTTGTTTCCACAAACATCAAAGGGTAAATGCTTAAGTGAAAAATATCAGGAACTCGTTTTCTGTTGCATGTTTGTGCCTCACAACACACAAACTGCCAAGGGTAAAATGTAACCACAGATGCTCAACAGTGTTTTTATTAAGACTTTAAAAACTTAATCCAATCAGACCCATGCTGTGTTTGCCTGTAATTTATGTATTTAGATAATTTAGTGCACATTTCAACTTGTAAAAAGGATCTTGGATTACAACCCCTGAAGAAGATAATATCATATTTTATAAGGTGTGCTGGGAAGCCCGGGATGAATATTGGAAGTGCTTAGATGCAAGTATGGAGGATGCATTTAAGTGTGAGAAGCTTAGGTGCTCTTTTGTAAAAGCATGTCCACAGCAGTGGGTTAAATACTTTGATAGAAGAAGAGATTATTTAAAATATTTCAGCCTGAAGTAGATCTGCTTCCTTGTTGAGCCAGCACAAATAATGCTTCCTTGTCCAAAAATATAATGACTAGAATATGGGAGAGGAAATATGTTAGGCAATATAAGTATCACTCTGATGACATCTGCAAGCCATTTTCGGAGATGGGAATTTTGTTTTTTGCTAGTATTCTGTTTGATATCTCCTTTGTCCATGCCTAAACGGTTCGGACCCAGGCTATTTGAAAAACTGCATTTCCGAACACAAACCAGCATGAGCATTGTGGTCTGTGGAGGGGGCCCTACTCTCAGTCCCACCTCCATCTCAAGCATGTTTAGTGGGAACGAGAGAGGGGACCTTCTCCGTGGTGGCTCCCCACCTCTGGAACTCCTCCTCTAAAGAACTAAACACTACCCCTCTCTTTCCTTTCCTTTAAAAAGCTCTTAAAAATCTACTTATGCCCCTTAGCTTGTGGAGAGGAGGAGGACTAGTACATTTTTATATATCCTCACTGAGATATTGGACACTTACATCAGCCTGATGGATGCCGTAAACTATTTTATGTTTGAATGCCTTCTAAGCTTAACTTTTAAGTTTTATCATGTGACAAATGTGTGTGATGTATTATTTTATGCTTATTTAAGTTTAATTGTTTGGTTCGTTTTATAAATTCCTATTAAGATAATTTAGTCCACTGTTTTTGATTTGATTCATTGTTTGTTTGTCTAGGCATTGAATGTTTGCCACTTTTTATTTGTTGGAAGATAGGACTGATTATAAATAAAGTATTATTATTACTTGCTTTTCTTTACTCAGAAAAACTGGACTATTTGTTTTTAAAAGATACAAAAACGATTGGCTAAGTGACAGTGCCATCAGCCAGTCAACTGTTCATCTGAGTTATCCAGCAATTGGTTTCAAGACAAACACTGTGCAACATGTTGGACTCAAGCCCTATCCAACTAAGTACCCTATATACTCATCTATAAGTCTAGACATTTCAATTTAGAAATCAACCCAAAAGACCTGGGTTGACTTATTCATGGGTTGATGAGAGTATTGCACATTAACTCTTATTGAAAAAAGGAACTAGCCACTTTTCTGAGTTGAGTGGCAAAATGTAAGAGCATAGTCCATCTTGAGAAACTCTCAAAGAAGCACTGACCCACTCTACCCCAGTGCTCCATCTGGCCTTTTTTAATGTCTAGGTGAAAACACAGAAGTGGCAGTCAGGGATAGCTGGCCTCCTGAGCTGGCTCTGGAGGTTTTCACTCTCTGCGGAATGATCCTTGGCTTACTCACAGGCCATATAAAATATCTTCATTTTGGCCCCCAAATGTGCCCTCAACTTATACATGAAAATCAAGCTGGAATCCATTCAAAGCTTTTCTGCACATCCTTTCAGGTGCTTGTCAGAGGTTTCAGGACAGCTGGTCAATATTCTGGTTCACAACCCTCAAAAAGAGCTTTTTCTCATTCCATGGAAGTCTAGATGCATGATGTTTAGTCTGTAGTGTGATTGTAGAACATTTGAAATAACATATATATCCAGAACGTTTTTCTTCGCTTCTTAGGTATTTGATGCCTTCCAAAACAATTTTTCATATATTACATGATGATGATTTATGCATTTTTTCTTATTTTTATACCACTTTGTTGCAAATATTTATTTATTTTTCTGCCTTAATTCTTCCAAAGAGTTCAGAAATAATCCTACAAATATAAATTGGGTCCAAGCAAGGTTTACATTCAATTGCTAGTCCCAACTAGAGAGTACCTGCTGGACAATTCCTGAATTTTAAGTCAACAGTTACAACAGTTACACAATAACCATTGATTCAATGGCTCTACTTTAGTTGGAACTAACAACAGTATGCAATAGTAAGAACAGCCTTTCATGTATTGAACTACAAGTCTCATCAGACTTAGCTACCATAGTTCACGTTGAGAACCAAAGATTAACACAACCCAAAAGTCAGAAATGTCAAGCGGTAAATTCGCCCCAAATTGCTCTAATATGCTTCCCATTAATAATATCACTGCAATTTCAATAGTAACTTACACCTCCCATGATTTCAGTGGTACCTAAATAAACTATTTTCCTGCAAAATCTATACATGTGCAATATACCACGTCAGATTACCTTATCATATTAGAATGTTTCATAAGATTTTAAATATTGTAAAATTAATTTTTTAAAAGTAAGTAAAATAACATTAATAGAATTTGTAAATCAAGAAATAGGCAACTGGGTAACCTGGTATTTTAGACTACAGCTTCCATGATCACTGACATTGATGGTCACGACAATCTATTGTTCCACTGTCTACCTCTGATGTTATGTTCATTAAAAAACATGAGAAAAATAAGACAGAATGGTGAACTCACATGTCCTCAACTGTGATATCTTTCAGGATCTGACAGTAGTCCACATTCCACACGGCCTGGTCATCCCAAACTTTTGACGCCAGTAGAATCGCACCCAGCACTATTCGCTTCCAGTTTGCTGGACAAATATCTATTTCTGCGTAAGTTAATAGTCTTTCAAGATATACCTGAAAAGAAAAATTACAGTAACAGTTTACTGGATTTCCCTAGCTACATAGATTTCCCAGCTGATCTTGGAATGGAGAAATTTTGAAAATGTTAATACTGCAGATGCAAACAAGCTAAGACTTCAAACTTCTTCACACTAACTGAAGAATACTTTCCACTGACTACCAAGTATTATTTATTTATTTAGAACATTTATATTCCGCCCTTCTCACCCCGAAGGGGACTCAGGGCGGAGCACAGCATATTCACAGCAAACATTCAATGCCGGGACACAAATTCACATACAATACATAAACATTAAAAAAATCAAAATATTAAAATACACCATTTAAAACCGTTCTAGTCATCCGTGTCAAATCTAATTGGCCTGGTCATCTTTCCAATTGCTGCTTTATTGCCCTGTCCCGAAAGCTTGGTCCCACAGCCAAGTTTTTTACCATCCTTCTAAAGGATAGGAGGGAGGGGGCTGATCTCACCAGGAAGGAAGTTCCATAGCCGGGGAACAATCGCATCCCCACGAATCGTTCCTGTGACAATGGTGAGACAGAAAGCAGGGCGTCCCCGGAGGATCTTAATCTCCGTGATGGTTCATAGGGGGAGATGCATTCGGACAGGTAATTTGGGCCGGGGACATTTGGGGCTTTATAGGCCAGCACTTTGAATTGTGCCCAGTAGCAAACTGGCAGCCAGTGGAGCTGGCGTAACCATGGGAGTTGTATGCTCCCTGTATGCCGCCCCAGTTATTAACCTGGCTGCCTCTCGTTGGACTATTTGCAGCTTCCAAGCAGTCTTCAAAGGCAACCCCACGTAGAGTGTGTTGCAGTAGTCTATCCTTGATGTAACGAGAGCATGGACCACCATGGCCAAGTCTGACTTCCCAAGGTACGGGTGCAGCTGGCTCAGTGATGAATCCAGGAGAACTCCCAAGCTGCGAACCTGTGCCTCAAGGGGAGTGTAACTCCATCCAGCACAGGTTGTGACCCTATGCCCTGTTCGGCCTTGCGACTGTAAGTACTGTAAGTACACAAACTTACTACCAAGTAGACATATGCAGGTTTGGCTTGTAAATTAGTTTAGGAGTACAGATCAAAGGAAAGCACATTCTCTTACATTGAGCTTCTTTCCAGACAGGTATTCATAAGATTATAGCATAAATCTTGATTCTTTGTCTTCTGCCAATCTAGTCAAGCTCAAAAATCAAACAAATAACTTTTCCTACTACAAAGGATTTTGAAAAAAAAAATGAAATCCAGACATTCAATTAATTCATGTAATGTTCATTAAAAGTTTTAATATGGGCTCTCATAATTTAATTGTCTTCCCTTCATCACCAGTTGGTGTAAGGAATCTCTTAACAACTTCCCGAGAGCTTTCAGAAAAGATTGTGTTTAATTATGACTTGCTTTTTTTGCAGCACAAAAATGTAATTGGAAAAAAAAATCAAAGCCATGGAGGATTTGTAATCCCCACCCCACCCCCTTTTTCTATTGGAGCTTTGGTCTTTCCAATACATACGAGGAATCCATAGCCAATTCTACCTGAGGCAGTGGAAATCAACTGGGCACATGACCTTTAGTTCCTTGATAAAAGGTGAGGTAAAAATGTACCGTGAAAAAATGTACAATCTCTTGTACAAGTCAAGGGTAGGGTTTGGGGCTACGGATTCTGATGGATAACTCAAGGACCAATTCCTTGGAGAGGGGGAAGCACTAGTGCAGTGGTTCTCAACCTGGGGTCCCCAGATGTTTTTGGCCTACAACTCCCAGAAATCCTAACAGCTGGTAAAATAGCTGGGATTTCTGGGAGTTGTAGGCCAAAAACATCTGGGGACCCCAGGTTGAGAACCACTGCACTAGTGGGATCTCATGGGGCTAGTCATCCATGGCTGTGGTTGCCATTATCCACTCAGGGATTCAAAAGTGAGATTACAGTGATCACAGGAGAGGGAGTCAGTACTTCTTTTAGGACATCCAAGGACACAGTACTCTGAGAAGGAGATGCCTTCTTTTTTATATGAGTTAAATACATTTCTTACATTGACCCATGGATAAATGGACCCAGGGTTTTTAGATCCATTTTTGACTAAAGTTTCTAGACTTATACATGAGTATATACAATAATTGCATTTTAATGATGAAAACAGTAAGATACCATGAGTTTCTGCTGACACTAAAAGACAAAGTGAATCTACTGGATCTTTATAAGCTCAGACATCTGAGAAATGTTGAAGAAAGTTCCCAAGTTTTAGTGTGAGTAGGAAATGTCTCACCAAATATGAAACTATTGATTCATCCCAACATCTGGCCGACTTCAAGAGGGAGGGGCACGGGCAAAATAAGTGAATGCCAGAAAGCTCATACACTGTGTGTCAATGCATATGTGCAAATGATTTAAAGAATGCAGCATAACATTTTCCTAGGTTGTTAAACTCTAGCTTCCCAAGGAAATAGTGCAAGCTGGCTGACAAGATTACTTGACAAAGCACTCAACATACCCCAGGTCAGGGCTGCAGTACAATATGAATGACTGCGTGAAGGTTGGAAGGTCATGGCTACTCATTTCCTCAAAACTTAAAAGTGCTCAGAAGGTTTCTGAGAGAATCAAAACCTAGCTCAGAATAATTATGAGGTTCTGAAAACCAAAGATTTACTGGCGTGGAACAAGCCCCAAGGGAAGGAATTATACAAGGGTCTTTCCAATGACAGGAAATTTAAAGGACAGCAGAAAAATAGATGTTTTGGTTTTGAACCCTGGAAGGAGACAGTCAATAATGGACAGCTTCCCGTTCAGATTCCTTGCAGAACTCCTGACAAAAATGGATCTCGCAGGAAGGGACCTCAGCTGATGTCAAAGCAAAGAAAACAGCAACTTCTATAGATCCTGAATGATCCTATGCTTCTCATATTACAGACTTAGTGTGGCAATGTAGAAAGCCAAGCTACAAATGCCCCATTAAATTTGTAATAGGGGATTTTGTGATTTTGATTCTATACAGAGGAGAAAGTCTCCAATGCTTTAGCACAAATGATTCAAAGAGAAGTAAAAACTAGGCATTGTTTACAATCTCACTCTGCCTCGTAAGGGAAAGTCAACTCCCACCTGAACAAATCTTGCCAATCAAACCATAATAGGGTTGCTTTTGAGTTGCCACAACACCCCCCAAAAAAACATAAAACACAAGAAGAGATACAAATGCATACTGAAAGGCACACAGCAACTTCATTTAGAGCAGTTGCCATCAAATAAGTTTGCAGCTGAAAGGACATAGGGTTTGCATATGACGGAGTAGAGATTTCTCAACTTCTGGGTCTGTTTTTGGAAAATGCTTTACTAAAAACCCAGGTCATAGAGGTTTTTCTCTTTTAACAGTAAAACAAAATAATTACACAGTAGAATGAAATGAAAAACACAGTACAAACTGTTTAGTCATTAAGCAATCTTGAACTCAGTTAAACCAGGCTCAGGCCACATTACTCAAAAACATGTAGCGGTCCATATCTGGAATGTTGGGAATTGGTCTGGTTAGAATATAAGTGATAAGCCCTTGGATACATGGAGACTGAACACACATTTTTTGCTTAAAGCAATCCTTATTACTTGTTGCTGGGACTACATATCCATCAAGCCAATATCTTCTTTTAAAAAAGAAATAGCTACAGTGAGCCCTTGGTATCCACTGGGGTTTGGTTCCAGAAGCTCTATGGCAGTGGTTCCCAATCCATGGGCCTAAAATCAGGCCCGCAAGACATGCAAATAATAACACAGCCCAACCATTTTTTTAATGTCTTTGTTTTTAGGCCTTGTTGTTCATTCGTTCAGTCGTCTCCGACTCTTCGTGACCTCATGGACCAGCCCACGCCAGAGCTCCCTGTCGGCCGTTACCACCCCCAGCTCCCTCAAGGTCAGTCCAGTCACTTCAAGGATGCCATCCATCCATCTTGCCCTTGGTCGCCCCCTCTTCCTTTTGCCTTCCACTTTCCCCAGCATAATTGTCTTCTCTAGGCTTTCCTGTCTCCTCATGATGTGGCCAAAGTACTTCAACTTTGTCTCTAGTATCTTTCCCTCCAGTGAGCAGTTGGGCTTTATTTCCTGGAGGATGGACTGGTTGGATCTTCTCGCAGTCCAAGGCACTCTCAGAACTTTCCTCCAACACCACAGCTCAAAAGCATCGATCTTCCTTCGCTCAGCCTTCCCTAAGGTCCAGCTCTCACATCCGTAGGTTACTACAGGGAATACCATGGCTTTGACTAGGCGGATCTTTGTTGCCATTCTGATGTCTCTACTCTTTACTATTTTATCGAGATTGGACATTGCTCTCCTCCCAAGAAGTAAGCGTCTTCTGATTTCCTGGCTACAGTCTGCATCTGCAGTAATCTTTGCACCTAGAAATACAAAGTCTGTCACGGATACAAAGTCTGTCACGGCCTATTCCTGGGGTTATTAAGGGTGCTGTTTCAGAAAATTGCATTGGATTTGCATCAGCTCTAGATTATTACATACTAGCATGGGTACCCAGCGGTGCCTGGGTTATTTGAAAAAGGCATTGTTTGTTTTGGGGTGCTAGGTAATATCATTTAGTTAATTAGAAACCCTATTTATTAGAAAAAAGCCACTTTCATTTTGCTGTTTATGAATGCTCCCATTAGAAAATATGTAACAATGTAGGTGGACTACAATTTCCAGAATCGTGGGTCAATCCTCCGCAAACCAGGCCTGTATACACAGCTGGCCATATTGGGTCTGTGTGCCAAGTTTGGTCCAGATACATCACTGACTGGGTTCAGTGTTTTCTTGATAAGGGTGAACTACAACTCCCATATGCCAGAGACAATCACCTCCAAAACCTGCCAGTATTTACAGCTGGACATCTTGTGTCTGTGTGCCAAGTTTGGTCCAGATCCGATGCTGGCTGGGTTCAGTGCTCTCTGGATGCAGGTGAACTACAACTCCAAAAATCAAGGTCAATCCCCACAAACTCCTGCAGTATGTTCAGTTGGTTATGGGGGTTCTGTGTGTTAAATGTGGTCCAGGTCCATTGTGGGTGGGGGTCACAGTGCTGTGTCTTGATGCAGGGTGAACTACAACTTCCATCCTGCTGAGTCAGTACCCCAAACCCCTGTTCAGTTGCTAATCAATTCTTCTGTTTGCTGTGTGCCATAGGAAATGGTAGGAAAGAGTTAAGCGAGAGGCAGTGGGTGGGTTCATGCAAAGTCCACACCAACTGAGAGAGAAAGGAACCCTGAGAGGTGGTGCTCACTGTAACCTGTAACGTACCTTGGAGGGAGGGCCATTAGTGTCTCCTGGATGGTGGAAGTTATAGCTCTTTGGGGAAACAGAAGTCTGTCTGTGTAAGTGGACACCTCCACCACATTTTTCACTTTTATTAGGTGTATAGATATAGATAGATAGATAGACAGATAGATAGATAGACAGACAGACAGACAGACAGACAGACAGACAGACAGACAGACAGACAGACAGACAGATAGATACTGGATGACATATGCTCTGAATCAGAAACTAGAGCTGATGGGGTCTATCCAATCCAATTTTCTGAATCCTCACCCCAAATAACCAAACCAAATCTAAAGCTGACCTAAAACTAATTCCTAACCCTTTGGTACAATGTTGGCGAGTAGTCCCTGGTCAAAGTGGTCCCTGGACAAAAAAAGGCTGAGAACCACTGCTCTATAGATATCAAAATCCATTGATGCTGAAGTCTATTGCATACAATGGTGTAGTAAAATGTTTCTTATAGAAAATGGCAAAATCAAGGCATGCTTTTTGGATTTTTTAAAAATGCAAGCCACTGATGATTGAATCCACAGATATGGCTGGCTGACCATAGTTACTTCCAAGCATACATATGCAAGACAAATGTTTTTAAATGGTATGAACCTTCAACAAAGGAGCCGAGAATCATACAGCTCTCATTGACTAAACAGCTATTGCCACTTCACCTCCCTGAAAAATTCTTTCTCAAAAATCTTATTCTAAAGTAGAGAATGATCACAGCCAGCTATTCAAAATTTTTCAACTTGTCTTGGCAAGACGCACACAATGGAGATGTGTGTGTGTGTGTGTGTGTGTCTGTGTGTTTAAATATCACTTCACGTCAGCCATAAATGTGCGCCAGTCACTCAGACGGCCCCTTCAGCATCCATCAGCTCTTATTAATGCCCTTGTCACTTACCGATAGTTGTCCAAGATTCTTTGCCTGAAGCTACAGTGATTTAAGACTTAGTCTTACAAACATGGAAACATTCCAGCTTGTAACATCCTCAGGATGCTTGTCCGATGACCAACCCCACCTGTGCATTATATTAATCAATCAGCAGGGGAGCCTGTAACCGTATCCCTTGGCCTGAGCCACAGATAATCCCGTCTAGTCTCTTTAAATAGATCCCTTTACTGTACAGAACAATGGTGAACAAACACATACCCATGTCACACTCCACAATAAGCTTCTGTACATTTTTATGTGCCTTGCCAAAAAGGCACTCGAGTATCTTTTCTAGGAAGGCATTCTTTCCACAAATTTATTGGTCTATATGAAGTGCATTGCTGGAGGGAAGAGAGGGGGAACCATAATATATATTTTTTTCAATACTGGCAGTTCCTGAATGACAGATTTCCAACTTACATGTAACTCCTAGTTGGAGGTGAGAGGAAATCTACCCCTAGGAAGGGAAATTCACTCCTGAAAGAGTTATTATCATGGGGAAAAGGTGTCTCCACTGAAGCTTTATCACTAATTCTTGTTTCCACAACAACCCAAAATTTTCTCACAGAAAGTGAGCGAACTCTTCTGAACAGGGACACAGATAGCAAAACAAAAGTTACAAGGATCTTAACTTCTATCTCAAACGAATTAAATATTTTTATTGGAATTACACTTGAAAAATGTACGCGTTCTGTTGTTGTTGTTCATTTCTTCAGTTGCTTCCGACTCTTCGTGACCTCATGGACCAGCCCACACCAGAACTCCCTGTCGGCCGTCACCACCGCCAGCTCCTTCAGAGTCAAGCCAGTCACTTTGAGGATGCCAACCATCCATCTTGCCCTTGGTCGGCCCCTCTTCCTTTTTCCTTCCTTTCCCCCCAGAATAATTGTCTTCTCTAAGCTTTCCTGTCTTCTCATATGTGTTCTGACTTCTATGCAAATTCAACTTAGGAACAAGCCTACAATATGTTTGTATTATATTTATTTAAGCTTAATTTTTGGTTATTTTCAATTAGTTTTATAAGTTCATATTAATATTGTTTTATCCACTACTTTTAATTTGTTGTTTGCCTGTTTTTGGCATTAAATGTTTGCCACTTTGTCACTTTTGTTGGAAACCGCCCCCGAGAGGACATAGGATGGGTTACAAATAAATCATCATCAACATCATCACTATCTTGTTCATAGTCCGGGGACTGCATGTAGTTTAAAAAATCTGTATAACCTAGGTTTTTCCAATCTGCCTCGCAGAGCCAGGTAGAAAGTAAATGGGGCTTTAGGTGACCATTTGAAACTCCAGGCAACCAGGTAACGTAATGTTTATCTAACTGAAAAGTGGGAATAACATGGCTCTCCAGAACCTGAATAAACTGTAGCACAGATTTCCATTTCTGTGGGATGTATTCAGGGTATGGGTAATTTGAAAAAAGCTGCAAGGCTAACAATCTAGCTGTTGCGTTCATACGTAGCTGCTTCAAACGGAAGTAGTTTCATGTCTGGGATTTCTGCTGGACTCAAAAGAAACAAAAAACCCACAACCTATCACTTACACATGGAGATTTTAGAAAGATCAAGTGAAGAAGTGAGATTCACTCTGAGTCAGTTCTATGCTTGTCGAGCTCTAAGGTGGTCACCCAAATGTAACATAATGAGCCCTGTTAGTTGAAGTTTTCCTTAGGAGATGGTTCTTCCTGTTTGTTGCATTGCCTGATTCTGCATAATTCTTTTTTTTAACTAAATGAATAACAAAACCATCTAAGAGCTACTAAAGAGCAGACAAGCACGGAGTATCTTCTCAGGACCATATCATTTTAAATTTACTCTGCCACATTTATTGGGGGGGGGGGGTCCCAATTCAGACTGTGACGGAAACTCTCCCTCTCCCCATGCCAGAATTTCAGTCTGCTCTTCCCCTTTCCACACTGGCAATACAATTTTTATAAACTGTTGTTAAGTGGAAACCTGAGCCCCCGGTAGTGCAGCGGGTTAAACCGCTGAGCTGCTGAGCTTGCTGACTGAAAGGTCAGCGGTTCAAATCCAGAGAGCGGGCTGAGCTCTCGCTGTTAGCCCCAGCTTCTGCCAATCTAGCAGTCTGAAAACATGCAAATATGAATAGATCAATAGATACCACTCCGGTGGGAAGGTAAAGGCACTCCATGTAGTCATGCCGGCCACATGACCTTGGAGGCATCTACGGACAACACCTGTTCAAGTTGAAAATGGAGATGAGCACCAATCCCTAGAATGGACACAACTAGACTTAATGTCAAGGAGAAACCTTTACCTTTTAAGGGTAAACATACATGACAAATGCCATATCTAGTTTGTCCATTAGAAGTGGGTTTCTGGCCCATTAGGAAATCAACAGATGGTGTGAATCTCATATAACAACAACAACTTAATTTTTGTATCCCGCCACCATCTCCTGAAGGGACTTGGAGTGGCTTACATGGGGAAAAACCCAAATCTCTGAAATTGAATTTTTCACCAACTATCCTCAAATACAAAGTTTTGTTTTTCTTACAAACCTTCAACACTAACTAATTTTCCAATATTTTTGAAGGAACTGAAACTCACATTTTTCCTATGAGACAAAGAGGCGTCATTTTCAAGCCCCCCCCCCCCCCAGAGAAGACACTTTAATGTTTCACATATGCTCATTTCAAGATATATGTGCAAAATGAACAAAATGGCACAAGTTATAAACCATCATCCAGAAGGCTTAGCATACTCACCAGGGTGACAATGGCACATTCGGCAGTCAGTTGAGCAGCGCTGAACAATGTCCGGACAAAGCGATAGATCTGTTTTTGCTCTGGGTCATGTTTGTCATAATCTGGCGGCACTTCGGATTTCTGGGGGAAATGACATTGTTTAAAAAGTGGGCAATCTACAAAATACATTGGATAATGGGAGCAAGGATTACAAAGAGCGGAAGAGAAGTGATGGAAAGCGCTTCATGAAAAGCATGTTAAGACAGTGAGGTAAATGATGCTTTACCGATAGGGGGTGGAGGTTTTCATCAAAAATATCTAGTAGCATCCTTCCATCTGTGTCCCTGGGGAAAAAATGAGAAAGATGAGAAGAAAGGCAGACAACTTCTTACACCGTGAAAAACCAAAACTAGGGAAAGACACTTCTCACACTGGAGGATCTATTTCAATCTGCTATTTTTCGGTTTGTTGAATGACAGATGTCATAACCAGTGAGAAGCCTTTCCTAGATCACTCATTCCCAACCTGTTGTCCGTGGAGCACCAGTGGTCCGCAAGAATGAAAATATGGTCTGCAGTCTCAACATTACTATACCATTGCCTCGAAACCAGGCAGCAACTAGAGCGGCTGGTCTTGCGAAACCCTCTTATAGTGTCGAGGCAACGGAGAATTCGGGAGGGGAGAGGCTGACTACCCATGAAAGATTACTACTACCACAACAGCGCTATAATTTTCTGTGAATGAGAAGATGGTGGCTACTGGATGGCATATGTTCTGTATCAGAAACTAGAGCTGATGTGGTCTGTCCAATGCAATTTTCTGAATCAGCACCCCAAATAACCAACCCGAATCTAAAGTTGACCAAAACCTGATTCGTAACACTTTTGGTACTAATGATGGAAAGTCAAAGTCAAAGTGGTCCCTGTTCAAGTGGTCGCTGATCAAAAAAAGGTTGGGAACCATTGTTCTAGATGAAGGAACTTGTCCACTGCATTAAGTCATGGAGACTATATGGGAACTCCAGATTCTGTTACAAGAAACTGATTACAAGGGGAGTCTACATATTTTCTTTAGGAAGGACATTGTGTGTGAGAGGATGCCAAATGAGATAGATGCTAGTTTTGATCCAAATGAGTTTTTCTAACATTACTGCTTGAGACTGGGTAGAATGTAGTACCACCAGAATACAGCAGAGGACGCTTGGACAACATGTAGGATAATATGAGCAGAGATTCACTTGACAAACTTACTGCAAAAAGAAAAAACTAAGATAGTCATATTAGTTATCCTTTTCTCTGAAATTCATGCTCAATCCATGTCCTGAATTCTAAAACTTAACTTTAGAGCAGCCCTGGGGAAAGTTACAGACTGTACCATAACAGTGTAAATGGGAAAAACTGAGCTAATAGGAATACAATAGGGAATGCAAGTCCTCAGCTTGCCAATTACCATTTGTTAAGAGTGAGCTAATACTATGTCTGCAGAAATTGGAAGAAATGAAACAGAATTTCCTGACTCATTTTTCTTTATTGAGGGGGAGATGGGGAATTTCTCATTTTGTTTTTTCTCACAGCAGTTACCAGAGCTTCAATAAGTTACTTTTCCTTTGGATCACTGTCTTCAGTATTTGCCGGTTGGGAGATTTTGCGACTTAAGTGTCCAAAACTTAAGTCCTCAGCAACATATATAAACATTAATAGCTGCAGAGTTAGGAAAAGCAACTATATAGCTTTTGAGGTTGGTTTAAATATGCATCCATATATTGTAATTTATACCAGATATAACTCTATTGTAGTTCAGCAATATTTTAAGGATCTCATCCTTCATAACCACATTTCAATAAGAGTGGTTTTATTTTAGCATTTTCCTCTTTTGAGTGTTAACCGGAATCTTGGGGACCCTGAAGCATGAGAAATGGCCTGCAATTCCAATACTGCTGAGTTAACATATGCAATAGCCCTAAATCATTATTGCATTGCTTTCAAACTGTGCCTGTAATGGGGAAAGATTAACCAGTTAGTTGGGATATGTTCTTGTTTACCCCAATATTAACGTACCTGTTTTTGATGTGGTAATATATTGCAAGAGCTACACTGTAAAAGAAAATCTAGAGTTAGAGTCTTGGAATATGAGTGACATTTTCTAAAGCCTATTAAATTTCACATATAGTCAGTCTTCCATATCCACGAATTCTGTATCCATGGATCCAACCATCTATGGCAGGGGTCCTCGAACTTTTTAAATAGAGGGCCAGGTCACAGTCCCTCAAACTGTTGGAGGGCCGGATTATAATTTGAAAAAAAAAAATGAATGAATTCCTATGCACATTACACATATCTTTTAAGTGTTTTTGCACTACAATACAATAATTAAAATGCACAATTTTAAGAAATATAAACGTTTTAGATTTCAATGGGAAGTGTGGGCCTGCTTTTGGCTGATGAGATAAGATTGTTGTTGTTGTGTGCTTTCAAGTCGTTTCAGACTTAAGTTGACCCTGAGTAAGGGCTGGGTAAATGACCTGGGAGGGCCATATCCGGCCCTCGGGCCTTAGTTTGAGGACCCCTGATCTATGGCTTGAAAATATTAAAAGAAAATTCAAAAAGCAAATTAGGTTAACATTGTGTATGTTAATCTAATTGGAAATCCCAGGCAGCAGTGGGAAAATTATTATTAAAAAATAATAAATAATAATAAAAAATAATAATAAATAATTTAAAAATAACCAAATATTAAGAGAGAACAATATAGACAGATAAAGGAAACAGTAAAACGACAGCAAAAATAATTGAATTTACTATCTATACTGAGTTTGGAAAGTTCCTTTTTGGAGTATGACTCTGAGAATTCCCAGGTTGCTATGTTTGCAGTGAGATTCTGGGAACTACATTCCAAGAAAGTAATTTTTCCAAAATCTGAATTAGAAACATGAAATACTCTTAAACTGAGACTGGATTGATACTACCATATAATCCAGTTTCTGAATCCAGAGGATCTGCTTCGAACTGGATTATATGGCAGTGTAGATCCAGGCTGACTTGCACTTGAATTTCCTTTCACATTTTTGTATTCAGTTGTAAATGTTTGCTGTTGACATTCCTACATTTTCCTACATATTTTTCCTAATTTTCACAGGCAGTTGCAGAATTTTTCTCATATTGGCCTCATAAGCATCTTTCTACGCTGACCCCCTTCCCATCCTATGAAGGAACAGGTTGTTATCTTGTATTCTTAGATTAATCTCTGGCCCCTTCTACACTGCCATATAATCCAGATTATCAAATCAGATAATCCACATTATCATCTTTGAAGTGGATTATATGAGTATATACTGTATTATCTGATCAAAGTAGATAATCGAGATTTTATATGGCAGTGTAGAAGGGGCCACAGTTATCAGAAGTCTGTCTGCTGAGATGAATAAACTAGACTGCAATGCACTCTCTTGTGGGGCTGCCCTTCAAACAGCAGCAAGCGCAAAATGCAGCAGACAGACTGCTGATCAAAATATTGTGCAAAACCAAGATACAGTCATCCCTCCGTATCAACAGGTTCAAAAATCCATAGCTTTTTTTGTGTTTGTGTTAGGAGCGACTTGAGAAACTACAAGTCACTTCTGGTATGAGAGAATTGGCTGTCTGCAAGGATGTTGCCCAGAACATGCCTGGATATGTGATGTTTTACCATCCTGTGGGAGGCTTCTCTCATGCCCCTGCATGATAGAAGGGAGCTCACTCCGCTCCTCGGATTCAAACCGCCAATCTGTCAGTCAGCAAGTTCAGCTGGCATAAGGGTTTAGCCCATTGCTCTACTGGGGGCTCTATCCATAGCTGGAAACTATTTCCTTTTAAAAACAAAACTTAAAGGGCAATATTTCTCCTAGGAGAAATATATAGAAATTTCCCAAATCAAGCTAGTGAACTAATTCTACATACAGCTGATTACACATAACTGAGTTGTTGCCTCTATTTGTTGACAACTTGTCAGTGATTCACTGTTTACAAACATAATTTGGACTTGTGATTTAGTGAAAGGCACAAACCATGAAAGACCAGAACATTAATTACAAAAGACAAATCAATGTGTGATATGGTTCCAGAATTCCTTCCGAGAGGAACCTGAACAAAAAACACCCCCTCTGTCCCTTCCTTCCTTTCCGACACATCACGAGTTAAGACAGACAGTGTGTTCCAATTATGCTATGGTGTGCCTTTCACAGGATTTCAAAGACTGTTGGGAACAAATAATTGGGTGGGGTGGGATGGGAGGAACGACATAAGAGGATTATTTGTGAGTATCTCATGAATGTTCCCAGCATTTCAAAACTGAAAAAAAATGCAAGCATTTGGATACCACGGGTGTTCTAAGATTGAACTGTATCTTTTCGAAGAAATTGGGGAAAAATTCAGAAATGTTAAACCTTCAAACATTCTGAGGTTCTGAGATGCTTGTATGGTTGTCCCACCACATTTGCAGGTTTAGCTTATGTGGATTTGATTATTCATAGATTTGCTTAGTATGTTCTCTCTAGAAATCTGTAGGTTCTCCAGGATGATTCCAATATATAGGAATCCAGGACAATTCCAATATAGATTTACTCTGGAGAACCTTGAATTTCCTAGAGAAGTGTTTTTCCATTTTCACCTCTACAAAAGTGGAGTATCATTGCCACAATCCCACCATGCTGAAAGGTTTGTCTGACACTTTTTTTTCATGTCAGGAGCAACTTGAGAAACTGCAAGTCACTTCTGGTGTGAGAGAATTGGCTGTCTACAAGGACGTTGCCCAGAGGACATTTGGGTATTCTGATGTTTTAGCATCCTTGTGGGAGGCTTCTCTAATGTCCCTGCATGGGGAGCTGGCGCTGACAGAGGGAGCTCAACCAGCTCTCCCTGGATTCGAACCGCTGACCTATCGGTCAGCAGTCCTGCCGGCACAAGGATTTAACCCATTGTGCCACCGGAGGCTTTTAAGCAGAAGCTGGAAGGCTCCTGTGTCTGATACTAAAAACAGCCTTCTCAGTAGTTACTCCTATGCCCTGGAAATCCCTCCCAAGGGAGGTTCAGTTGGAGAACAAACATTTTTTAATGGGACGTGCTCTATTTTTTCCTATGCTTTGGATGTGCTTTTCATGGTTTGAAATTAATATTTTAATTGGCTTGCTTGTTTAATGGCTCTTAAACTTTTGTATGACATACTGTATAGTGTGCTTTAACCAATATATTAGTCCATATTGACAGCCATATTGGGGAAAACATAGGGCATAAATAAAACTGAATAAAGTATTAGAAGTCTAAACTCATGGTGCTAAAAAAATGGCCACAGCGGAACATGGTACAGTTTTCATTAAAAAGTGTTGACATTTTTGGAAAAAAAATGTCTTTGTCTTTTAATTATTTGATGTTGGAAACATCTGAGTGAAATATTTGAAAATGCCTGTTGTACTGTGTTATGATGTGTAAAAAAAAGAGTAGAAAAAAGGAAGTGAATACCAACAAGGCTCCAGATTAACACATTTGGAATCATGTCAGTACATATATGGGTTTTTAATGTTGCACTGCCAACAACATACAGGAACAAACTTTCATGAGAGTGAATTTAATCCAGGACATCTCCCATTACCCTCTAACACAGAGGTTCCCAACCTGCAGTCCATGGACTACCAGTGGTCCCCAAGAACAAAAATATGATCCACACCCTCACTGTTATTACAACATTGCAACAAGAGCGACTGGTCTCATGAAACCCTCTTATAGTGCTGAGGCAATGGGGATGTTGGGAGGGGAGAGGCTGACTACCCATGAAAGGCACAACGACAAGCCTCTTGACAACTGCTGCGTCTCCTCCCTCCCCGAGCAGAGCAATTTCATGTGGCACCTGGAAGCGAGGGCATCTTGGTGTCTTCATTTTTAGGCCCGTTCCTGGGGTTATTTGGAGTGCTGATTTGGAACATTGCATTGGATAGATCATATCAGCTCTAGATTATTAAATACGGTTTTCTGTGGGTGAGCAGATGGCGGCTACTGGAAGGCATATGTTCTGTATCAGAAACTAGAGCTGATGTGGTCTATCCAATGCAATTTTCTGAATCAGCACCCCAAATAACCAAACTGAATCTAAAGTTGACCAACAACTGATTCATAACCCTTTTGGTACTAATGTTGGAGAGTGGTCCCAACATGCTCTACAGAACTTCTGAAGATTCCCATGAAATAAATGGCAGGAGATTTGAGCACTTGTTTACTTCTCCTTTTTCATTCAGAGGTTCTTTGTTCAACAATTGTCCAGAAATAATAAAAACATCAACATCTCTTTGAGCCAAAGAATGCAACCATACCCACCATTTAATTGTATATTTGAGGTTGGGCTGACTGACTGTGCTGTCATCCAGGAAAATAGTGGAACAGGAACTGTATTTCCTTCTCAATTCACCAGGAGGATGCTAGAAAACAAACACATGAAAAGAACAGTGGTGGTCACGTAATACCAGAAGACATTTGTTCCTTAGGCGATATAACTTGAATAAACAGTTCCTTTCTAGTCTCCTTGCACATGTAAAATAATATTCAACAAGGGTTAGGGGAGAAAATGTTAGAGGCGTTGTGTGTCACATGAATCACACAAAAATGATGCTGTGCCAGCCATTCAATTTCAAAGAGCAATCCACCAGCCAACATGAACAGGGATAATAATGTTTGTAGGAGTTCCTTAACAGAATACATGCATCACATTTCAATTTCAAAATAAGTAAAAATTGAAAAAGAAATCTGTTCAGACATCTCCAATTTCCATCCAACCTCTTCTATAAATCCAAAGAAAGGAAGATTTGAAATGAAAGGAAAGAAAATTCCTTCTTAAGAAGCTGACAAAAACATGGCATCAGACAGACCTACTTTGGCTTGGTTTTCTTTAGCTTCTCTACTTAATGTATAGGAAATGTTAAGTAGAAAAGTCAAAGAGACTACTATAATTCTGTAGTGTGGATACAGCCCCATAAACACACCCAGATGACCTAAATACTAAATACTAGACCCAACGAAATTGTGTTAAAAATATCTCCAGTTTCATTAACAAGACCAACTGACTTGGCTGGGTCTACTTTAGTTGGGACTAACATGGGATGTAGCCCAAAGGGACCGATGTTCCTTGTACACAGCTAAGGACTGATACTTCATCTTCCAAGTCTCATTCATTCTACAGGGCACACTAGAAGGGCATCATCAGCCTTCAGTTCTTGTAATTGTTTTCAAGTTGAATGGCTAAGGCAAACAAGGGCATGTTGCTGCTAGTTCATCACTATAACATTTATTCCGAGGCCAACAATGTACCAGACAGATGGACAGAACAGGAGGAAGGAACAGAGGATTAATAGAGAAAATGCACCGAAAAAGCACGGAAAAGGTTATCTACTCTAATCCACCCCAAGGCAGATGAATGATTCAGCCAAGAAATGGCTTAAGTGGTGAACCAGTATTAATTTTGCAGCTGTACACTAATCAAATGCTAGGCAGTCATAGGAGGGTGTGAAAATATGTGTTATAAAAATATCTATTAGCTGGTGCTAAATCAGGAAACGGTTCAGGTGGTTTGCAACTTCTGTTCCACCATCTGTTGCTTTACATGTCTAAACCTTTTAAATACAATTTGGAGCCAAGAAACCCATTATTAAAAGAAAACAGAGCAAGGCAGCAAACAGCTAAACTTAAGTATTTCCAAAAGCTTAGCAACATAAACATCTATTTATTATAGGTTATCTGAAATTTTGGTATTCAAAATACTCCAAAATCTAAAGTTATCCATGAGACAATGTTGCTTGCTGATGATTCAATGTCCATAAATTTTGTTTCACACCCAAAATTATTTTTAAATACTTTATAAAATAACCTTGGTACTTATTTGAGGCACTGAATATTTGCCCTTTTTGTACATAAACCGCCCTGAGTCTCTTCGGGGAGAGAGGGTGGTCTAGAAATAAAGATGATGATAATGATGATGATGATGATTATAGTGACACAAAAACACAGTATGTCACAGCAAACAAGATATATATGCTGGATTTCGTATCACAAAATCACAAGTCGAACACTTCCCAAGTGTCTAGGACTGTGATGTATTTTCGAATGATGCGCACAGATCCAAGTAAGGTGGCCTTTTGCAGTTGACAGATCATGATTTTGTCTACCCACCCCAAATGGGTGCCACCTTGTTGTGTTGGGGGCTTAACTGCTCCAAGGATGCTGAGAGCTGTGCTGGCGGTAGTCCAACCAAGCCAGAGAGGTCTCAGATGAGGAGTGGAACTAAAAGCACCTAACCCATTAGAACTATGAAGAAGCAAACCAAAACGAATTCTATACTGGCTCGGTCGACGCCCAAGATAAAAAGGACCGCGGTGGATGCTGCTGATTCTGGACATCCATCAGAAAGTGGGCTACAGAATCAAAATACAAATGAACAATCACAGAAGCGGCAGAAATATACAATGCCAAAACGCACGATGGTGATGACGATGATGATGATGATTATTATTAATGTGTATTCTGGGCACTACAATTTAAGAGACATACAAGCTGGAAGGTGTCCAGAGGAGGGCAACTAAAATGATCCAAGGTCTGGGGAGCATAACCTATGAGGAGCATCTTAAAGAGTTGGGTATGTTTAGCCTGCGAAGAGAGGGTTGAGAGAAGACGTGATAGCCATGTATAAATATGTGAAAGGGTGTTGTAAGGATGAGGGAGCAGGCTTGTTTTCTGCTGCCCTGGAAACTAAGGGTTCAAATTACAGGAAAGGAGATTCCACCCGAACATTAGGAAGAACTTTCTGACTGTAAGAACTCTCTGACTCAGAGTGTGATGGAAGCTCCTTCATTGGAGGCTTTTAAACAGAAGCTGGATGGCCATTTGTCAGGGGTTTTTCCTGCATGGCAGGAGGTGGAACTAGATGTTCCATGTGGTCTCTTCCAACTCTATGATTCTATGAAATTTTGGCATTGCTGTAACTTCCCTTTAAAGCAATGATCCAAAGCAAGAAGAAAAGCTCTAGGCACAAAAGTTCTGTCAAAATATACAACAAGTAGAATTGTAGAGTTGGAGGAGACCTCATGGGCCATCCAGTCCAACCCCTTGCCAAGAGGCAGGAAAATCGCATTCAAAGCACCCCTGACAGATGGCCGTCCAGCCTCTGCTTAAAAGCCTCCAAAGAAGGAGCCTCCACCACACTCCTGGGCAGAGAGTTCACTGCTGAACAGCTCTCAAGTATTCTAGACATCTGCAAAAATTGTTTCCAAACTCAAACAATGTAATGATTTTTTATTTTCCAGAAGAAAATTGGGTACAGAGAGGAGGACACTGAGGAACCACAGTAATAATTCTGTGGAATGCTTCCTGTAGACTAAAAAAAAGTGTTATCTATGTGCGTACAGCAACCAAGCTCAGACAGGTAAAATATAGCCTACTGCATGATGAGAATAATGGTATTTAAAGAATTCAAAGTTATCTAATCCTGCACAGATGGACAGGAATTGCAACTCAATTTGGGTTTGATATAAATTTACCAAAAATCACCTATTTCTCAACATCCAGGATGGAATGAACTTGAGGCTTCAAAAGATTGGGTGTGGGAGAAAGCAACACCCTACTCCAACTCTAAATTACACCTGCCTATGACACACCTTCCAACACTTCATACATTAAAATCAGGGTGCATGTGTCCAAGAAATATCAAAATGATCAAAAGGACAAAAATATTATTTATTTATTTGAAACATTTATATTCCGCCCTTCTCACCACAAAGGGGACTCAGGGCGCAGCACAACATAAATATGGCAAACATTCAATGCCGAAACATAAATATTTATTTATCATATCAGGAGCGAACCAATGTGTTTGAGAAAACACAAAGTTTAAAAACTTGGCATTCTATTAAATGTCCTTGGACCAGTAGCTGGCCACTTGGAGTGCCTCTGGTGTTGCTATAAGAAGGTCCTCCATTGTGCATGTGGCAGGGCTCAAACTGCATTGTAATTGGTGGTCTGTGACTCACAAGTCGTGGACTCCACTTTGTGGCCTAATTTCTTAAAATTAGTTCTGCATCTCATAATGCCATAAATAAACTGTAAACATACATAAACACTAAAATCAATTATCTCTGCTTTAAAATCGCTGTTTAAAACCAACTCAAATCATCCCTATCAAATACGATTAGCAGGGAAAAGTTTCCTACTGTTGCCTTATTGCACTGTCTCAAAAGCTTGGTCCCACAGCCAAGTTTTACCAACTTTCTGAAGGACAGGAGGGAGGGGGTTGATATAATCTCACCAGGGAGGGAGTTCCATAACCAAGAGGCAATCACTGAGAAGGCCCTCTCTTTTGTCCCCATCAATCAGTGGTGGTGGGACCGAGAGCAGAGCCTCCCTGGAAGATCTTACTCTCCACGGTGGTTCATAGTGAGAAATGTGTTTGGACAGGTTGATTGAGGGATAATAATGAGGAATAACAGACAAGGAAGGAAACACCATAGCAGTTTGTTTTTGTATTGTCGAAGGCTTTCATGGCCGGAATCACTGGGTTGTTTTAGGTTTTTCCGGGTTATATGGCCATGTTCTAGAGGCATTTTCTCCTGATGCAGGCGAAACGTCAGGAGAAAATGCCTCTAGAACATGGCCATATAACCCGGAAAAACCTACAACAACCCAGTTTGTTTTTGCCTTAGTGGAGAGCAAGATTCTACTCCTTCCTGTCTTTTCTCTATTCTGGGTTAACTGACTACAAGCTACCTTTGTGCTTTGAACTCAGTTTGCAGCTCCTGAAGATGAGAATGAAGGGTGGAAATGGGAGGAAGAGAGGAAAACTGGGACTTTGAAAAAAAAAACTGAAAAATTGAGATAACAGAGGGTTATTTGGGATGGTCCCTTCCAAATCAAGACGGTTGAACGTTATGCTAGGAGACACAGTTTTGAGTCTCCTGCTTTGGACCTCAATTCTCCCAATTTTCAATGCAATAATTGGGCGGAAGGTGGACTAGGAGACAGAGATAAACACAAGCTTCTTTTCTTCTCGGATTTCTTTCCAGAAAGTGAAATTCAAACAGGGCTACAAGCTCATATGCTGTAGCTATGGGAAGCACCTTAAGATAGCAAGCAGAGAAAATGAATCAGGGATGCCTCCTATGGATCAAGCTGCATTGACTAAAAATGGAGGGGAGAAAAAAGGCGTAGCTTCAAAACAGAAGAGCCTCCCCGCTTCAACTTCAAATGGCCTTCAAATCACAAATGGAATGACCGGGAATCAAAGTCCTTACATTCTCGCTGGGGGCATTTTGTTGAACTTTCTTTGCCACACTACAATCAATGATCTGAAAAAAGAGATCACTGCTGATATTTGGTACACAGTTTCACCCCTGAATCCTTTCTGAACTCGCAAAACCCTGCTGTTTGGTTCTGTTGC